CCTTTGAAGAGAAAGCGTACCGCTTCTGGCGAGGATTGACCTGGAGGGATTTCGGTGACCTCCGGATTCTTGCTGTTCGTCGGCAAGGTGGGTTCTCGAGATGCGGCGGCGACTGAGCGGCTTCGACCGTGGTCTGTCGTTGTGTGGCCAATCCGAAAGTATCCAACAGGATGTGCAGCGGCAGGCGCACGGGATAGCTGGCTGGCATGGAGGTTTCTTCGTGGCGCGGACGAAGTTGATTGCGATGGCGAACCCAGATGTCATTACCAACGGAGACATTATGCAGCATGTCACCTCGCCTGGCCGTCACTGTTGCTTTGATCCAGCGAGGATGACCGGCTCGATAATCGCGAGCGTAGACTGGGGCTCCAACGACGAATTCTTTATGCTTGATGTAGGCACCAGAGTGACTAGGTGGCTTCTCAGTTGGGATGAGCGCTTCGTTGATTGTGCGTAGCTTGCGGCCCATCAATGCTTCAGATGGTGACTGGCCTCCTGGCGTAGCTGGATTCGGTGTGGACCGGTACGAGAGCAGGAAGGCTTGAAGACACTCATCCACGGTCCCCTCCCCGCGAGATTTCAAAAGCGCCCTCTTGAATGTGTCGACAAATCGCTCCGATTGACCATTGGATTGGGGATGGTAAGGCGGTGAGCGGAGGTGTTCGATGCAGTGTCGGCGACAAAACTCTTCGAAGATGGAAGAGGTAAACTGGGTACCATTGTCGGACACCAAAACCTCGGGGAGGCCATGTTGGCTGAAGATTCGTTGGAGACAAGCCAGAGTGGCGGATGCGGTTGGTGGGTTGACGGCGACCACTTCCGGCCATTTGGAATAGGCGTCGACCACGACCAGATAGGAAATGCCATCGATGGGACCAACGTAATCCATGTGCACTCGGGACCACGGTTTTGCTGGCGGATGCCATTGAACTGGTGATTGGTGTGGTGGCATCTTTGAGGCTTGTTGACAATCCTGGGACACGGGGTCGGATTGACTGGCTTCGTCGTCGGTTCGGTCGTTTGGTACTGTCGGGGAATGTACCACGTTGCAGATGGCCCGAAGCGGAAGATCGGCCAAGCCAAGGGTTTCGAGCCAGTCGAGACCAAGCACGTTGAGCTTCGCCTTTGTGATGTAGCAGGTCGCGTTGAACGTGGCGCCCCGGAAGGAGACGGAGCAGTGCAGCCGCCCAGTTAGCTGCACGCGACCACCACAGGCGCTGGTGGCAGATTGGGAGGTCGGTTCGAAAGGTGGCTTGCCAAGGGATCGCCAGAGATCCTCGGAGATGATTGTGATGTCCGACGCAGTGTCCAACTGCAATCGGACCGACTGACCATTGATCAAGACGTCAACGAACTTTCTCCGATCCGCAGCGTTGATTTGGAACGTGGCCAGCAGGCTCAGGGAGCTGCCGACCGGACCAGATTTGGGTGTGCGTCTGGGTCGGGACCTCTTCTTTGGATCGCGGGTGGGGGCCAGCCCAGTTTTGGCCCCCTTGGGAGATGGAGGATGGCAGTAACCATCCCGGTGCCCCACCCTGCCACAACGTTGACAACGATGCTGGCAGAACTTGCAGTCGCGGTGGAAATGCCAGGCACCACAGAATCGGCATGCGTAGGGTGGGGACTTCGCTCGGTCGGATTGGGTGGGGCGCGCGGACGATTGCGCCCTCGGTGCTGTGACTGCCTGGACCATACCAGGTGCGGCGGCGTTCTGGATCATTGCAGAGTCGTGCTTCAGATTGAGCAGCGTTTGACACTCCTCGGCCAGGTTCTGGAGTGTGACTGATCCATCCTGTTGTAGCTTGGACAGGAGACGCGTCCGGATATCGGCATCATGTGGAGATTGGAGGCCAGAGACAAAGATCAGGCATTTGAATTGGTCCTCCGTGAGCGAGCCAAGTTGAAAACGCTGGCATTCACGGTTGACCATGCCCTCGTACGTGATGAAGTCGTCGGCATCACGTTTGACCAGCTGCAGACATTGGTAACGAGCATTGAACAGAGAGGACTGCTCGCCAAAAATCTGTGACAACGTTCGGACCGTGTCGTCAAAGGTAACGTCCCGTGGGTTCCTCGGCAAGATGAAATTGGTGTAGCGCTGGTGTTCGAGGGTACCAAGTTTGCGAAGAAGCAGCCGGACCTTCCACGCGTCGTCCTGGCAAGCCAAGTCAACGGTGAACAGGTCCTCGTACCGCTTGTACCAGGATTCGAACGTTACCCCGGCCTTGGCGTCGTACAGGAATTCGCTGATGCCGCTAACCACATGGTCCACTGACTGAGAATTGGCGCTCGGACCTGCATGAAGGGAAGAACTGGAAAGCTTTTCGGTTAGCGCGGACATCAATTTAAGCTGTTGCTGCAGCATCAATTTTAATTCGGCATATTCGTCAATCATGGTTCGCCAACTCTGTCGCCACTGTTATAGATTGGGTAGATTGCCTTAGTCGTCGCCGCTGTTATAATTGAGGGAACGCCGCCTCTTGAGGTAATTGCGTAATCGCCTGATAAGAGGGTCGCTGGCACGCCTACGATAATTGCTTGTTACGCTGACCACTCGAACGGAATTGCGCTGTCCTGATGACGCTGGCTTAGCCGGTGAGACGGAAAATTGAACGAGCGTGGGAACGATCTTAGCCGCACTTGTTCGTATAGACGCTGAGGCCTCGAAAACGGACGCACACGAGAGGGGGTACGATAGACGCGCGTTAATGACTTAGACGCGAAGGCTGGCCAGCTAACGATTCACACGCAATCACGCGACCCGACCGACTCCCAACTGAGGCGAAGAGAAAGAAAAGACGAGTGATCCTCTGTAGGCTCTTTTACGACCAACAAAGGGCAATCACAGAGAGTGCAATGGGTTATTAAGTTACGGAAAACTGTCACCACGAAGAGGTGGTAGTTTGTAAATGACCATTGTCAGAAGGTGCGCAGTTTGGGCCGCGTCTCGGAGTGGCTGAGCTCTGCTGCGTTGTGGGGAGGAATTGGCCCTCGCTTTCCACAGCCATTCTGCTGGGGTTTCTGGCGCGTTTTTGCGGGAATATTTGACGTGCCCGCAACAGGCGTTTAGATCGCCAGGCAACTCAAAAGTATCCGTGCTTTTTCTGTAACGAAGGAGCTGGTGAAGTTGCTGATAGAAATCATCTTTTACCGAATCAGTGCTACAGTTTTTAGGGGCGTATGCTGCAATGACAAACAGGCACCGTTTGTCCCCGCGGGACTTCGTAGCACGGAACGAACGAGCTAATCTAACTGCACACATCCTACTGTTTATTGGGATCATATCAATCAGGGCAGCTTCAGCCCGAGGACTCAAAACAATGCCGACGCCAGCTTGACCGGCATTTAAAGCTGCATCTTCGCCAGACAGGCGCAATGAGGATTTGCCGCCAGTGGCGCATGTGGGGGATCGCAGGTTAACCACGGATCTCGAATCTTGAAGGCGGGTTTCTTATAAACAGCAAATATCGCTCGATAGGGTCTCTAGTCTGCGGGCAAGTGCTGCCTGTTGGCCAATCTGTAGCAAAGTGCGTACGTTGAGGCATGTCAGTCTTAGCGAGACGCGAGGACTCTAAAGAGAAACCGATGAACTGACGTTGTCCGCTTGATTGAACATGGACTTGTCGACTGGATTGGAGCGAGGCGCTGCGACCGCGTGTGATTTGAAACTAGAAGACAAGCAACTATTGAAGCAAGCTGGGGAAGGCAAAGAATTGTGAGATCGGAAATGGGGGGATAAAAGTAAGCTGGAGCGGGACGATAAGGATGAAGAAGCGCAAGAAGGGGTATAAAAAGACGGGAAGGCCTGAGCAGTACCATCCGTACCCCTATCCACCCTGCTCGATGCAACAGATAGGGCGCCGTTTAATATCCTCTACGGCGGCCAGAGCATCAAGAAATTTCGTCGGAGCAGTGAGAAGACGTAATTTGCGATATGTTAACATTTCTATTGTTCTCTTCAGTCGCAAACACAATACAAGCGGGATTCATGGACAGTTATATACAGGGGGAAAAGTTGGCACACCAAGCAAAATGTCAAAATCAAGACCATGGTAACCTAATTGAATGTCTCAATAGTTTCTGTACACACAACACAGGTTGATAAGCCCTAATTAGCAAAGCCTCACTAATTGCCAAGATAATCGGATTGTTGTTGCGTAATAACACCTTGAACACGGTCTCCCGGTTAACCTGATGTCCGGTTGCCAAGAGATGCTTGGTGATAGATGATGCGGGACTCCTGTTCATCCTCGGATCCACTCCGTTTCGTTGTGTCATCAGTTGCTCCACCCACCTCGGCACATGTTCAGCTACCCTCTGAGCTAATTGACGGTCAGTCCTGCCCATGTAAATGTCGCCGCAACCGCAGGTGAACGGTAAACTGCTCTGACGAAATGGCTGAAGGGGACCCACTGTTTTACCTTTCATCAAGAAATTGTTTGATGAAGGGTTCGTTGTATTACTGGACAGAATACTGTCAGGTTGCCTAGGCCTAGAGAGGAGAACGATTAGGGTTCTCAACCAAAGCCTTTGATTCAAAAATCTTACCGCAAGGCAGCGAGTTTTGGCATTGAACTACAGAGAGCCCGTTTTATGAAATGAGGAGCCACCCACATTCCAACCCCCAACCTGGAGGACCAGGAGGCTGAGTTTCTCTGGCCTCTAACCATTAACCAGTCTGGTATGAGTGGCTCTGAAGGTGCAAAAAAGCACCGCCCAGCATAACTCAGTGGATCTCTGAGGCACACAAACCATCGCACCACGGTAACGTCTAGCCTCATTGCAATGGGACTACACTTATACCTCAGATTCGTACCGGTAAAAGGGATTATAGCTCACTATGATACTTCCGTGTTTCTACTTCAACTGCATTTCTAACGCCATCTCCTTAACCCAATTTTTTACATACCGATCTGGTTAGTTCAGTGATATGGGCATCCAGTAACGAGGTGATATCTGCCTCAGACGATCACCAGCTGGTTTGTTGGTCTCTGAGCACGATGAATACTCGGAAACTGCTCACTCTTCCGTCGACGGCTTTTCCCACAGACATGGACTGGTTTAGTAGGCAGCGGGGAAAACCAACTACCACGATGAATCAGAGAGGCGATATTTTTGTTCTGGCTACCACAGATGGTAAGTCGCAGAATGTTGCCGTACCACATTCAATACGAAGGACGAGTGCATATCTTAAATACCAACGGAACTGTCGAGAAATCTGTGGAGGCTCACCAGGGCGCGGTACTTTCCATAAAATGGAACCATGACGGCTCTTCCTTTGCTACCGGTAAGTAAATCTCCTTTGCGGCATTTTAAGCTTAGCTGGGGAAGACGGACACATAAAAATGTGGTCGCAAAGTGGAATGCTTCGTTCAACGTTGGCTAAACACGGTAACACAATTGCGTTTCTCTAAAATGATGAAGGTCTACCTATATATTCTCTGGCATGGAGTCCAGACGCTTCTCATATTCTGTTGGCAGCAGGGAAACAACTGGTTTTACAGCCGTTACAGACCAACATCAAGTCAATTACGGTAAGTTTTTATTGCAATTAGGTGAAGAAAGTGTTTCCAGTGGAAGGCTCACGATGGGCTGGTGCTAAAAGTGGACTGGAATCAAGTAACAGGTCAGATGCTATCTGGTGCAGAGGACTGTAAATACAAGGTAAATAATTGATGTAACTTTGGAATCAGTTTGCCAATCTCCCACACGCAGATTTGGGACTCTTTCGGCCGATTGTTATACTGCAGCGCGCCCACTGATAGTCCAATCACCTCGGTCACTTGGTCACCCGATGGTCAACTATTTGTCGTGAGCAACTTTAATGTGCTGCACTTGTGTGACAAACAAGGGGTGAGTCAAATTGAATCGTCTTGCGTGGGCTGCCACAACAGTGGGGCTTGTTCTATGCACTGGAGTTCCATTCCCCTGTATTATCCCCCTGGTGGTCGGCCCCGGCCGGTGCTGATAAGGATCAGCCTAGCTTCTATAGGTTAGGTTAGGATCCTACCATATTTCCCACTAATTATCCCACAGCTTCCCTTCTTATCTTATTAAGATGAAGGTATATGTTTTTGTCATTCATTCCTGATGTATTAGCCTGATGACGAACCACTGAAGATGAGATTGTACTCTAACTTTTGTTTCCGGTGCCTCACAAACGCCTGTACTCTCGACAGTCAATTCCCGGTGGAAATTATAATATTTTTATGTTGCAAACGTATACCCTCTGTAAGGTTAGGACCATGGCATGGCTCTCTAAAACCCTAAACTGTCCCTGTATGTCCCGTGCAGTTGTTCGCTTTTTCTGAAAACAGACCCGGCCTGGCTTGGAACTGGAAGCAGAAAACCAGTCAACTCCTCAATAGACGCGCACCTCACTGACACAGGGCATGCCAATAAATCAGCTGACTCTTACAAAATTATCTATCAGGCCTCCGCCAACCGACCGAACTACATGCGTTAAATAATACTAGAAGCTGCTGAGGTAATTGCGATTCGACTGTATGACCCGGAACTGTGTATCCAGAAAAAGCTAATTAGAGGGCTGGGACTACCTTGGCTTAACGACCTTTGAGGTCAATTGTCGTAACCTAACGGACTGTCACTGTCAGTATTTAACTCGCTTCTGGACTAACGACTGGTAACGTCTGTCTACCCATCTAGGTTTCATTTATATATAACTGTATAAGCCTGATGAGGAATTATCGAAGACATATGTTCGCTTACACCGACTTCTGATCTTGCAATGGGATTTTTCAAAAATGAACACAGACTTTCGGGTAGTACACCGTTGCTTCATGTGACCGATAGGCACTTTGAAACAGTTAGAACTGGTTGGTTGATGGTTCATTTTGAAGTACTCGTTGTGTGATAGAGATTGTGATGTGCAATTTCTATGTAAGCCGCGATTCACATTGAAGTGAACCTTGACCATTGAGTTCACTGGGACGGTAGCCGAAGCTGATGGAAATTCGGTGTTTCCTTCCCGAAAACACTGCACACCACGAGATTTTCGATCTCATTTGATCTTATCAGGTGGAGGTAGTTAGAATTAGTGTTGCCAAACGATGTCCGATGTCGATTTTTACTGCTTTCTCATGCAAATTCAATTTGCAACGTGTGTCTCCGCAACAGTTTCTTTGCACAGTGGTCCTGAATACTCTGAAACTGTTAACAACTGGTCTCCTTTGCACGCAGTGGTCCTACGCAGTGCAGAACACAGAGACTGGCAGTTTGTTCAATTTGAGATGGTCACCGGATGGAACACAAGTCGCTGCCGCTGGCGGGAATGGGCGGGTGTTTGTCGCCCAGTTAACAGACCGTTGGATGGAGTGGGATGGCTTCGAGGCGGCTATCAAAGACAACCGCACAGTGGAGGTCCACAACCTACGAAATGGCGCCATCGACCACTTGGAATTTCCTGACCGGATCAGTAGAATTTCACTGAAACATAACCATTTGATTGCTGTGACTACCTCACAGTGCTACATCTACAAGTAACTACGCCAATCCTTCTAACCATATGTATCATTGTGGACACGATAAAACCTCACCAAATTCCTTAACTCTGCTATGAGCTGAAATCTATCTGAGCGCAAAGGCCAACATAATTTCCCGCCTTTTGGTTTCAGCACGTCAAATTTCAACACGCCGATGATAACCGATTTGAGGGAGTGCAATGTCACGCTAATCGCGCAATGTCCAAGGTTCGTTTTTTAGACGCGTATGTGCACTTGTGTGTGTGGAACCCAGATGCCAGTATATTGCAGTGTTAGGTGGCTCCTTTGGTTTCATTTTAGATACTTCCTGTTGGTAGACGGAACAAACATTTACGTCTACACTTACGACGCCCGTTTGGTGTGTTCACCGAAGCAAACCAACCTTCGAACGGATGTACAAGACGCGGATGCACTGACTCTTTCAAATGAAACGATAGGCATTAAAAACAAGCTTGATGGGAAAGGTAAGTTTACCTGTAATAGATAGCACCGGTCTGCGGGATTAAAAGAACACAGGATACTTACTGTGCTCCCCTTGGCAATTTAGATTGGAAGCGGAAGAGCGCCGAGAAGTTGAAGAACTACGCTGTAGCAGTTAGAGCAACTATCGTTATCATTGATAGTAGTTTGGCAGTTCCCTGGAGTGATCATAAACGTGAATTTGAAGCAGCAGGCGTATTGTGGCTACTCAACGATTATTCGGTTTCGTTGGTGCTCAGTATGTATTAGCTATCGTTTGAAGCAAGTGAATGGCCTCCAACGAGATAGCTAGACTTTACAAGAAGTTGCCCTACGTTACTGTTTCAATTGATGCGGAAATCATTTAGGAATAAAAGGTTATTTTGTGCCTAACATAAATTTGAATCGCTATTCTTCCGAAACGCATGTTCAGTGACCGATTTTTCCTCGCAAATTGTTGTGAAGGAAAAGTCAACTGCACCAACCGAAGTAAGTAGATCTCTCTGGTAAACAAACTACTCTTATCTGAGAAGTGTCTAACTACGTGAGTACATTAAGGTGTCGCAAGGAGAAGGATGAACTAACAGGGAAGCAGAGAAATGTGCACTTATGTGTATGTCTAGGGGTGTGTGCACGTGTCTGTCTAGATTAGTCGTCAAGCCTGTTGACCGAATACACAACCGTCTACCTGAGCCCATTGGCACGCGTTCGTCCTTCGTTCGCTGCTGTTTAGACCACTTCTATCTTTACTAGAACAAAGTTGGGCGCAATTCCCAAAAACCCAAACCAATTATGGGCTGTTCATCGGTACATACACATGTGGTCAGCTTGCGCTGGTGGCGCTCATTGGCTTTCCAACCGCTGCCTCTACCTGTTTCACTTGCTCGGTCAACTAGCCACCATCATACCATGCGTCGTCAGCTCACGACTAATGTCGTGTGCGCACAAAGCGCTTTCCTCTGTCCAGGACCAAAGCCTTGTTTAACTCACAACGCAGCAGACCAATTCCTTAGTGTTCACGCGGCCCATCTAATCGCGGTCAATTTGCGTTTACGACGTTGCTTGCCTTTCCAGCCTCCTGGTCCCGTGCCAATTTCACTCTCACGTAACCTGCCAGCTATAAACATAGCCTTCATATTTGTCCGTTCGTACTATTATAATCTGCCGACTAGGTGTTTCCGTGTGATGTTACCTTGGCCCAGGCTCCTTAGGTGTTCATTGGATAATTTACGGTATGAAACACGCTGTTGGATTTAGGTACGGCGATAACTGTGGCGGTATTGGGACCCTTGTTATAATAGCTCGCCTTCAGACTTTGTAATATACACCCGGTTGTGAGTTAACCTGCAACCTGAACGGTGGTGCCTACTGATGAAGCGCACGCGCTAATGGAGGCTGTGTTTCGCACCATTCAAGAATGGTGATCTGTTTAAAAGCGTGGTACCCATACTAAGTGCTTTGTCGATAAATGTTTAATTGGTTTTATAAAATCAGTTTTACTACAACGGTTGGCGTATAGGACACTGCCCACTACTACCCATACTAAGATTCAACTTTAGGATATACTGAAGCAAAGCACAAACGGTGTCGTATGCACCGCGCCCTCTAAGAAAAATTTGTCGATTACTATCTGGGCAAGAACAAGCCGTCATCACCACTCACCTCCAGCCGATTAGGAAAAAGTTGCTGTTCTTGTCGCTGAGAGAATAAAGGCTACAACCCAAAAGCGCTCCGGGGATGTTGTACATCATGCAATATTAGAGCTGCGGTGCCTCGCATTAAAGCCAAGACAACAAGCTAACTGGCTGCAAGCGTATACTGGTAATTTACCGCATATGTTGCTACCTAAAGTACACCTCGACTGCCTGGCTGGAAGTAAAATAAGTGAATCCGAAACGATGAGGTCAACAATCTACGTTCTGTTGCGTGGCATTTAATTGGCATTGTTTTAATTCGGAGTGACTGACTTTGGGGTACTACTTGGGTGCTAAGCACAAGCACTGACACGTACTTGGTGCGCCAAGTAAGCGACTACTGAGAATAACGTGAGTATTTGAACCCAATATGTATTGAGCATAGATACACGAAATGAAGAGCAAATAAGCAGATACATAGAGTGGCGTAAATAAAATATGTCAGCTGTACGCCGTAACGGCGCTTCGCTGCCGCCATCACCAGCCGCGCGTGGGCTGTGTATACCGTGAGGACACCCGCCCAGACGCGGATTTGAACCGGGGACTTTATGTTTGCAAGCCACGTGTGTAGACCTCTCGGCGAACGGCCGACAGAGTAGCGTCGCAGGGTGACTCACGATATGAAGGACAAGTGATCGGGATTCATATCCAGTCAAACACACGGATGGTTATTGTTTGAAGTGACGCTACCCTGCGAACCCAATAACGACTGGTAGCCGAACGACGCAATGACAACGGAACACAACCAGCTGGCCGCACGCAAGTGTGTATTCTGTCCAGTACGGTTACAGAGCATCGATCAAGAAACTGTATCTAAGCCAATGGTGAGTGGTTAATCAATATACTGACACACGCACACGGTGGATGCTGGAGTGAACATGGATTGACGATGCTGTCTCATACGCCAGTTGTACGGTGCATGAACCAATAAAACCCAGTGTTACAACATACTGAAAGCGTAAAGGTTGCACGTTCACTACATAACTGTCTTCCTATGCACAAACTCGTATTGATGGTAAAGTGTTACCGTCTGTCGAATATACTCCGCACATTTAATCATCTCATAATCATTCACTCTTACTTTCAGTTATATACTTGTTCGAAACTGAGAGCGGGAAACCGATCGGAGACGGCAAGCCATTTACCCACTGTGTGAGTCAATGGTCAATTGAGGATACATGCATGCTCGAAGGCAACGGATGATGAGGCTCAAAACCTCGCACATGCATCCTATATTTTCCATAAGAGAAGGCTTGTTGACCATGATAGAGTCTTAGGTATCTACATACTTGTTGATTAACAAGTTTTGGAGATGCATTCGGGGTGGAAACTGGGTTGATAAGAGTTATCGGGGAGGTTGCATGGCACAGCTTCTCAGGACGTTAGCAACGAACTCCAACAAACCGCACCACCAGAGTCACATCCAGTTAGATCGGTGAGTTCAGAATCCGCATGTCACGATCGCAGTCCATGAACTTTACTCCAAGGTAGTTATCTCAGGCTTGGCACTGCATGTAATAACTTGGAACAAACATTTTATGGCGAGCAGAAAAGTCCTGCTAAGCAGAAAGTCACCGAACGATCTGAGATGTATAATTTTTAACTTTTGTTGCATGAATGGTTACTATGGTTATGGAACGATTGCCTTACATGCCGAACGCTAGGCTCACCTACATGTTCGGCCGATGTTAACAACAATGACAATTGTTATCTGGAATGACGGACAGCCGTTAGTAAGTCGTTAGGTGGGAAGTTGGGTGACATCAATGTCGCGGAAAAATAGGACATGCAGGCACGAATACTGTGTCCGGAGCTGATGATGTGTTGCCTAATCTAGTGCATTTGGCATGGAGTATTTTGACATTGTTGGCCAAATATCTTTGTGGGAGAAGGAGAAAGTGAGAAAAACAGACAAAGCTGCTGACTTCCCACAACGCGCCATTTCATGAAAAGCAGTGCTTAAGTACTGCCTAAAGACGAACATACTGGATAGTTTCGATATTTAGCGTACCTCTTTAAGGAACAAGATCAATTCGAGGCATCAGCAATACGCATATACACAGTGCCGACACTTCGCTGCGCGCAACCACCACCTGTCGCACGTGGTTTAAGTATACTGCGAGGGTCGCACGGTCCCTACACAGGCTCGAACCCGCGCCCTCGGATCATAAGGCAGATTTGTGATCCTTAAACCTACGCAGCGGTGTGATTACGTGATTGATGGGTACCGACTCGCACAGCTATCGCTCTTTTGTAGGGTCGAACCAATTTTCAGTACGCCAACCGTCAGTCAACTGAGTTTCCGACCAGACTAGGAATTCCAACCTACTCCTAGCCCGTTAACCCTTCACATTTGGCGCAGTGCCCAATCACACGAGTAACTGCGGTTATCTTAGCTGCACAAGATTTTTTTATATCCAGAGCTCGTAAACGGAACATCTAGAAAATACTTGATTCTCCCCACTATTATTGTCGCTATCTGTTACTAACCAAAAACATTACGGCTGCCATTTACCTCAGCTTACGTTGACGACTGTCACAACTTAAGTAAATGCTGGTTCCTAAGATTACTCAGAATACTAAGAAATTGGCATTGGAAAGATTGTCTTAAGGCAAGTAGCTTCCAAGTAGTTAGAACGGTCAAAGGTGTGAAATAGCCGGCTCAGCTTCAGAGATGCATGACAAACTAGCCATGAAAATTGATTTATGACGGGTGAAAAGCATAGGCCTAGCATGTCCCGTAGTTTGGCAATAGAAGAACTTGCAAACTCGAATACTATATAAGCGGATCAAATAAGATGCGCAACGGTAACGCGATAGAACCTTGACATAAAAAATAGCGTGGGATTAAGATGGTGCCATGCAAATGGAAGAAAATGTTATCATAGTTAATGCTTATAGCAAATAACAATCAGATTGTTCACCCGTTTGCAACGATTTACGTACGTCACTGTGGGTTACAACTCCAAAGAAGCTAGTTAGCTTGGACGGAAACTTCATTCACTGGACACCAGTTACAAAATGTGAGCTGATCCCAGTTGAACAACTTTCTGACTTGGAGTACGCTGACGACATTGCCGTCATTTGTGACAACACCAGCGTGCCAAGCCACACTGCACAGGTCAGCACACTCTGTCAGTCGTTTCGGGCTTCGCTTTGCATAATCAAATTGCAAAGCTTTCCTTCAAGATTGACATGGACCGTCTGCTGTGCTGACCCTTATTGGTGATCGATGAGAAGTCGCTCAGAAATTCAACTATCTAGGCAGTTGTATCTGGGCCTGTGAAATGGAAGGTGCGTTCACGCACCGTATAGCCATCGCTCGAGGCCCTTGTCCAGACTTTACCACTTGTGCCGCCGGCGCGACGTCCCTCTCCCTGAAGGGTAGAGTGGTAATGGAGCCGTACTTTCTACCCTACTCTACAGTTGTGAAACCTGGCCCATTCGATCGGCAAACGTAAAGAGGCCAGTTGCGTTCGAAACCCGGTACCCTCGCAGTTTGTCTTGTATCTGGTAAGAACGAGCTTGTTGAGGGTCTTATTTACACACAGAAAGATTAATTGAACTGCTCAGAACCGTTATTTCAAGCACTAGTCTCCGATAGATGGGCCAGGTGTTTCGCATGCCATCACGCCGACTCCTGTGACAAGCGTTGTTTGCGCGTCACTAATGTGGATGGAAGAAAAAATGGGGAGGCCAAGCAATGACCGGGTCAATGGGAATAAACGTGCTTACTTCGACGTTTGCCTCGGGAGCCTCTCGGCTCCTTCGTTGGAGCCCGAGAGATGATGAGCACGTTTGACTGGACATACTTGTTGACATGACTAGGAGCCAACCATTCCTCTCCTCTTTCGGGTTGGCATCCCCTCCAAACATCATCTCGTTTCCGAGGAATAATATAATCTTTTTCCGCGGCACAATAGCCCGCTGCAAACTCTCCAGAACGATGTCCAACTGTCATAGGTAGTTTAGCTGCCGTGCTTATGCGTAGATTTAACCTCGTGGAAGATATGAGTTAGCTTGTTTATAAACCAGCTAATCTTCTCAAGACAGATCTATTGTAGCTTTTTAACGGATCAAAAAGTTCTCCAATTTCGCTTCTATAAATTGTGGGGCATAGCCAATGTCGAAACGCGAATGGTTCGCTACCTGGAATTGCTTTACTTTCATCGCGTGGTAGACTGTGATACTCGTAAAAGACTAAGAAGAAACCACATTTTAACAGGATGTACTGAATTCAGTAATTTCGTGTGTCTGTGTGTGTGCAGATTACATATTTGTGGTGATAACTCCCGCCAAATAGTTACTGAAAAGTAAGGAGAGGCGAAGCCCAAGTACCGAACCTTGCGGTACGCCGCACCCCACTCGGGTCGAGGCGGACAATGATGTTCAGACTAACAATTGTTTTTTACCGTTCACGGAGATGGTTGCTGGTCCATCATATTACTGGAGCTCGATGTCATAGTGCTGTACTTTGTAAAGTAGGATGCGATAATCCAAGCGGTTGAGCGCTTTTGAAATGTCCAAGTAGATTACATCAATTTCTTTTTCCTCGTCGATTACAATCAGCAGGTTCGTCATACATTATCGATATTGACGAAACCTGTGTTACTTCGGCGGAATGATGCCGTAGCTTTCCAGGTAGTCGATCTATGCGTCTGCATTTATCACTTCCATGACCTTGGCGATCACAGGGAGTAGCGTTACCGGGTGGTAATTGGCAGGCTCAGAACGACTTCCACTTTTGCGAATAGGAGTGATAATACCGCGTTTCCACTTTGGCGGAACTATCTTCTCGTCTAGACAATGCTGAAAGAACCTAGAAAATGTTCTGCTCAGGTGCACGACTGCTACTTGTATTGCTTTCAGTTGAATGTTATCCGCTCCAAGAGAACTGTGTGTCCGCAAGGACAGTAGCTAGTTTAGCACCGTTTCTGCAGTGAATGTACCGCTGATTCAACCCGATGGTAGAGTGATACAAGAAGAAATGACGTTCCAACTTTGTACCCCTTTGAAAGTAGCTGAGTACTGGACTTGTAAGGCTTTGGCCGCTCGCTGCATGTGTATACCCACAAACCGTAGTGAATGATGGGATACCGCACTACACCTTGTGAAGTCTATTGAGGTTGTTGTAAAGAAACTTGTGGCCAGAATAGAATCGTTTCGTTAGCACCTGCTGGTGTGTTACCTTATCCTCACGAACAAACTGCACAGAGTAGTTGCGTTGAGCTACGCAAGCTGTCCAAATTTAAGAGCTGGAATCATGTTGAAAGGGTGTCATTTCTGATCCCTCAATGGTAATGCAATGGTATAAAAACGGGTAAAAAGGATAAGGCTTGAGAGGTCCTGTGGGATGGTTTTGTACATTACGTAAGTTAAAACGAAGGAGTTGTACTACACGGAAACTCGCATCTGTGGACTCACCATACTATCCACCTTTACTAATAACTAAATCTGTTTATTTCCGATTTCGCGGGGGGGGGGGTTGGTGGGCACAATGTTTATCAGTCTTTGTTGTCGCTAGAGGAACAGAATTCAAAATAAAGTAATGCGCATTGTGTAATATATGGTCGAGTCATTTTAAAAAAGTGAGTAGCGGGGGCGCAGAAATGACAGAAGTGGAAAGAGCGTTGCACGGCTGACAAATTCCGGTGGCATTACATTCGACTGTGTTGGGTGACCACTTTCAGCTACTAGCCCCACGGTTTTGTGTTGCGGCTAAATTTCAGGAGGTGGCGTTAAGCGTGATCAGTGTTTTTCAAGATCTGATACGCCAGAACGAGGTCGCGTCGCAGACGGCGATTATTTCCACTGTACACTCCCGGGCTTTCATTCACTGAACATTTCCTTCTCATTTTTGGTTGCCCTTTGCGTATTCTACATGCGGCTTCAAATATACGTTGAGCATTCGACGAAAAATGGAGAAAGATATGTGCTTGAGTTCCCACGGTGAGCTATATACATATCTTTAATATATATCTACATATATATTGTGCTTTTGATGCCGCTTGTGCTTACGGTGTTCGTGTGGAGCACAGTATTGATGATAGGTTGCTGAACACCCGTCGTTTCGGTGCAAGAACTCTAGTCTGTGAGACAACTATCCGTATGTTGCTGTTTGCTGACGATTGTGCGTTGTTTGCACAAGGCGC